CTCTGTAAACCTTCACCTAATTCACAATACAAAAGGAAAAATACAGGCTGTTCTGTAATGCTAAGAAAGACCACAGCTTTACCAACCAGAAACTTATTTTCTCACAGTTTAGGAGGCTACACATCTGGATTCTGGTGTCACCTCTGAGGGAAGACATTCTCTCTCTCTCTCTCTCTCTCTCTCTGTGCTGCATGGAATCCAGCTTTCTAATAGGGTCAGTGGTAGTACCTACCTGTACTCTTTGCTTCTAAGGTGTTTTCTACTGCTCCTTAGAAGTGAGGGTGACCCGACTTCATCTCACGTACTGTGGACACCTTATCAGGAGGGACCAAGCCCTGGAGAAGGACATCATGCTAGGTGCTGTAGAGGGCCATCAAAAAGAGGAGGACCCTCCAGAAGATGGACTGATACGGCGGAGGAAGGCCACCGTGAGCTCAAACAACAGCGGTGAAGATGGCCCCGGGCAGTATTTCATTCCGCTTTGCACGGGAGTCGGCGTGAAGTCAAACAGCGCCTGACAACACTAGCAACCTGCACTGGCTTCCTAGGGCTGGCGAGACAAAGGGACCCCACGTTGCTTGTTGTTGTTAAGGCCGGTCAAGTCGGCTCTGCCCCTCTGCACAACTGAAGCAAACCCTGCCCAGTCCCGTGCCATCCTCACCATTGACCCATGCCTGAGCCCATTGGTAAGCCACAGTGTCCCTCCATCTCCTTGTGGGCCTTCCCCTTTGTCACCAACGCTCCACTTTACCAAGCAGGATGTATGCCCTTCTCCAGGGACCGGCCTCTCGTGACAACATGTCCAACGTAGGGGAGACGAAGTCTCGCCATCCTTGCCTCTAAGGGGCACTCTGGCCTGACTTCTTCCAAGGATTCGTCTTGTAGAGGGCTTTAAAGGTCAGCAATGGCTCATCTCTCCATCCCAGGAGCAGAAGTCAGAATTCTGGGCTCGGCAGAGCCATGCTCCCTTTGAAGGCTCGAGAGCAGCGGTTCTCAACCTGTGGGTCGCGACCCCTTCGGAGGTCGAACGACTCTTTCACACGGGTCGCCCAATTCATAACAGTAGCAAAATGACAGTAATGAAGGAGCAACGAAAATAATCGTGTGGTTGGGCGGTCACCACCACATGAGGAACTGTATTAAAAGGCCGCAGCATTAGGAAGGGTGAGAACCACTGCTCTAGAGAAAACTTCCCCATCTTTTCCTTTCAGGTGGCCCCGTCCCTGCGTGGCTTACAGATGCATATTCATGAGACCGCCTTTCTCCTGGTCCTTCCCACCCCCACCCCCCACATCTCTCCTTTTTCATGACATGCCACTCAAATGGGACTCACACCCAGCCTACTCAGTAGGAGCACCCTTGAACTTAACTGACACTAGAGGCAAAGACCCTGTTTCCAAACAAAGGCATCTTCACAGTTACTAGGAGTGAGGGCTTTAACAAGTCTTCTTAGGGGACACAAGTCATCCACCTGGAGCCCTGGTGGCATCGTGACTTATGGGTTGGGCTAGTAACCACAAGCTCACCAGTTCAAATCCACCAACCGCTCCTCGGGAGAAAGATGCGTCTAGTTCCGGAAACGGTCACAATCTTGGAAACCCACAGGCAGTTAGGGTCGCTAAGAGGCGGAATCGACTCGCCTGCAGGAAGTAGAAGCCCATCCGCGACTGTATCTTGTGGGGGTTTCCGAACACATCTGTCTTGGAAGAAATACAGCCAGAATGCTCCTTCGCAGCCCGGATGGCGAGACTTGGCCTCACGTACTTTGGCACTGTGGCCACGTTGTCCGGAGAGGCCAGTCCCTAGAGCAGGCGGTCCTGCTTGGTAAAGTAGAGGGCCAGCAACAACAACGAGGAAGGCAGGCCCTCAAGAAGATGGACTGGCACGGTGGCTGCAACCATGGTCCCACACATAGCGACAGTTGTGACTATGGTGCGGGAGCAGCAGTGTTCCATTCCATGGTACGTGGGGCCACGTGGGTCGCTGAGTCGGAACCCACTCAATGGCACCTAAAAACAGCACGACAGGTGGGGGGGCGCAGGGGGAGGCTGTTCATGAAGATCAAATAAGTTAATACAAAGTATCTATTTCAATCCCCGGCATCCAGTGATAGGCAAGACCTTTTGTTGTGATTATTCCTTAAAACAGACCGGAGATTGGCTTCGTCGAGGATTTTGTTTTCCTTGACCCCACAGCCAATGCCCACGGAAGCCGCAGTCGAGAGATCCGAATGAAGTACTGCGTGGAGCCATCTCTGCTGCACCAGACGTCTTTAAAGCGTAAGCGAGTAAGAAGGTCCCTCTGAGCACTAAGGTGCTCCTGACCCAACCCGTGGTGGTTTCCATCACCTCCTGGGCACGAGAAGGCTGGACCACGACTGGGGAAGGCTGAAGACGAGTCGATTGATGCCTGGGGGTGATGGTGAGGATGGAAAATATTGAGCATCCGTCTTGGAAGAAGCACAGCCAGAATGCAAGGATGGAAAGATCGTCCCTCACGCACTTTGGACGTGTTCTCAGGAGAGGCCAGTCCCTGGGAGGGGACATCATGCCCGATAAAGCAGAGGGTCCGTGGAAGAGGAAGACCCCGCCCAAGATGGACTGACACAGCAGCTGCAACGACAGTTTGGCAACGATGGTACGGACGGCGCAGGACGGGGCGGTGTTTCACTCTGTCGTCTAAAGAGTCTCGAGTCAGAAATGACAGGACGGCTCCGAACAACATCCAAACACACCTGCGCTGCGTCATGACCGCTTGCTAAGTGCCTGGTCTTCAGAACGCCAGAACACAGGGGCCGCCAACGTTCCCATTCTACAGATAAGGGAACAGGTCCGTGGTGGGAGGCAGAGCAGAGGAGCAGCAAGGATTCCCGATGTCGCCAGCAGAGGGGCAGTCGTTAGTCGCTGAGCTATTCCCTGTAGCAGGAGCCAGGGTGCTTAGGGACAGTCCCATCGCTGCTACCAGGGAAGAGCCTGAGTGGGGAGTACGGAAAAAAGAAACCGCCATAGAGTTGCGGCCAACTCACAGCAACCCTATGGGACAGGGTAGAACTGCCCCTGTGGGTTTCCAAGACTAATTCTTTAAGGGAACGCACACAGCCTCATCTATCTCCCACAGAGAAGCTGGTGGTTTCGAACTGCTAACCTTGCAGTCAGCATCCCAACGTGTAACCGTTACGCCACCAAGGTTCTGAGGCTCAGCCAAACACCAGCTGCTGCTCCGGCTTCTCACCGACACCCCAGGACAGTGGGCTGGGCTGAGTACTGGGGGCCCAGGGGTGGCTGAAGCACAGCCATGGGCCCCACGTCATGGAGCTCACGGCCCGGGGAGAGGTCAGCAGGGGCGACAATGGCCCTGAGGTGGTCGGAGCAGCAAACCACTCAGCTCCTGCAGCAGCACCCCCAGGGGACCCCTGGGAGCAGAGGAAAGGATGGCACCACCCACACTGGGTTTAGGACACAGGCTGATTCACTCGGGTGGCCCAGAACCCCAGACTCCCACCCTGCCAGAAACACATTCGGAACGGGGATCCGGAAACATAAGGAGCATCCTAGCTATTCTGGGACCCCAGGGAAGCGCTGGGAACGGAGCCCTGCCTGTGCAGACCAGTCCTCTGGGAGCAGCTGTTCTAGATGCTACCCTGGTAACAGGAAGCATGCTGTGGGTGCACAGGAGGCAGGACAGTCCAGAGCTGCACTCCGTGGGGGTTTGCAAGGCTGTGATCGCCAGGCCTTTCTGCCGAGGTGCCTCTGGGTAGATTTTCTCACTCGCGACGAGGGGCCACCATGCTGAACCGAACACGGACGAGTCCCTGATAAGCATGCCCCCTCCACCCACACGCACACTGTGCAGAGGCGCGTCCACAGCCCCTCCCCCCAGATCTGGGGTTCAGGGGCTCCCCATGAGCGCCCGCCGCCCTGCCCTCCACGCCACAGTCTGTACCCTAAAGGCTGCCCACCAAACCAAATCCAATGCCATGGAGCCGATTCTGACTCAGAGTGACCCGATAGGACTGAGTGGAACCGCGCCCCAGAGCAGTGGGTCTCAGCCTTCCTAAGGCCGCCACCCTTTCATACTGTTCCTCATGTGCTGGTGACCCCCCCAGCCATAAAATGATTTTCGTTGGTACTTCACTACTGTCATTTTGCCACGGTGATGAATCGGGCGACCCCTGTGAAAGGGCCGTTGGACCTCCAAAGGGGTCCCGACCCACAGATTGAGAACTGCTGCCCTAGAGTCTCCGAGGCTGTCTGTCTTCGCGGGAGCAGACAGTCTTTAGGTCTTTCTCCCGAGCGGTGGCCGGTGGGTTTGAGCTTGCGGTTCACAGCGTAACCCACGATGCCATCAGGGCTCTTTAAAGGTTGGCCAGTCAATGTCAAAGACAACAGCGAAGGTCGAAAAGGCACTCACAGGAACCCTGAAGGACAGAGGAGGGCCGCCTGCAGGGTCTCCACCGCGGTACATCTTAAGGAGTGCAGAGAGCCTCATCCTTCTCCCTCTGAGCAGCTGGTGGATTTGAACTGCCAACCTTGGGGTTGGCAGCTGGGCTTTTAACCATGGCAACACTAGGGTACCTGCAAACATCTTCCACCAAAAAAACAGACCCACTATCATCGACAGATTCCAACTCACAGTGACCCTATGCAGGATTTCCGAGACCGTGAGTCTCATGGGCGCAGACAGCCTCATCTTTCTCTCTTGGAGTGGCTGGGGGGTTTGAACCGTTGGTCGACCCTGCAGCTAACAGTCCAACGCCTACCCGGCAGCGCCACCAGGACTCCTCGGAAACATCTAAGGCCCACCAGAACTTCTATTAGATTCTATGCTGCTTACCCAAAGCAAACCCACATCTTCCTTCCCCAAGGGCGGTTAGTGGGTTTGAACTGCCAGCCTTTCCGCACTGTTGTCATCGTTAGTTGCTGGGCTGTCCAACCTGTTCCTCCTCCTGGGGACCCCATCTTCTGAGGCGCCTCAGGGGGTGTTGAACTGTCAGTTGTACGGCCAGTCGTGGAGGGCTTCATCCTGGGCTCCATCCGGGCCCATTTTAGAGGCGTGAAAACCGAGGGCCAGGAAGTCAGGCTGCAGAAGGAACTGGACCTGGGCCTTAGCCGCAGGCTGGGGCATGGTCCGGACCTGAACCTCTCTCAGGAGCTTTCTGAAGGGTGCCGGGTATTGAAAGGTCTAGGAACCAGAGGTAGAGAGGCTCTGCCAGGTGGGAGGTAAAGGTCTTCTCAAGGGCAACCTTGGTCCAAGAATCATCTACCTACTAGAGAAAGATGGTCTTATTTTGAGGGTGACCCTGTACAGTGTGGGAGGCCTGTCAATAGCATGAGTTACCCTTTGAGCTGCTAACTGTAAGGCAAACAGCAGGAACCCACCAGTCCCCCCAGGGGCCCCCAGGCTGAGACGGGGGCAGGGCAGGGAAAGGGGAAGTGAGCGAGAAGGGGCAGGCCTGGGAAATCTTGCAACAGCCTTGCTGGTCACACACAGTTAATGGTTAGTAACCCACATGCACACACATGCACGCCTGTAGAGTACACACAAGGATACACACATGTCCTCACGCAAACACAGGGCCCACATGCACACACACGAGCATGCACACAGCTGTGCACATGCATGCACACATTGCATACAAATCTACAACAATATTCACGCCTGCATGTGTGCACATGCACTTGTGTACATATACAGGTACATACGCACAGTGAGTGCATACATGGGCACAATTGCCTGCAGGCACAAAGCATGGAGAACTGCACACAGAGCATTCCCGAACATGCACACACACCTGAGCATGCATAGGCATGCATCCACCCAGTACACACGGACATCTGGACACACCTGTGCACAAACATGCACGTGCATGCACTGCATGCAAAACTGCAATACAGTGTACACACCTGCGTGCACACATGTGCATGCATATGCATGCTTGTGCTCACACACCACGCACATGCATATGTATACACGCATGTGCATGTGCCCACACAAAGCTAATAGAACTGCACACACAGTATGCACACAGGTAAGAGAGCAATGACACGCATAGACATGTAAAGGACCTCGTCTCTTTATGGCACACTCAGGGTGCACACACGCACTGCCATGCCCTTCCTGCCACAAGCGCTTGTGTGCACACAT